TATATATATATATATATGATACATTCATGATCTACTGGTGACCACCAAAATCAAATTCCAAAGAGAAATATGATAGCATCATATGATGTCGATGATGTTATTAAGCCCATAAATCAGCAAAAAGAACTCACGACATTTGCATGAGCTCATTTGTACAGATTAATAACTTCTTCACCTCACAGGCAGCTGATGAAAACATGAAGATCACCATTACATCAGGAAGTCAAAAAAGATTGGATGCGGTAATTAAGAGGAACGAGCCAAGCCTAGTATTTATCAAAAACACAACTCTATATCTCATAATCTGTGTAGGTAACATTTTGTTGTATTATTGAACGCTTAACTAACCGTCCATTCTCATCGTACCGGTCAAGGCTGTCACATGGTGCTGGGAAGATTGGACCGACCGCATATCCCTCTACATAAGAGCAACGGAAAGTTCGCTTCTTTTTGTAGGAAAGACCAACCTGCATATCCTGGAAGCTGATGCCTCTCACAAGAATCTCCTTGCTGCCTTGGATCTCGACTGGAATGCGGACATTATGACCATAAACTCCACGGAAGGTCAAGTTCCTGATTGTCGGAATGGCTTTGGGGTCAAAGCCATCATCAGGGTGCTCATTGTAGTCGGTCTTGATCACGATACCAACACTCAAATTATTGAAGGTTAGGTTGCTATAGGAGATGTTGTGAATGTATCCACCCCTCCCAGGAGCAGTCTTGATCCTCACACCACGCCGTGAGTCCCAAACAAGGATGTTTTCAAATTTGATATTCGAGATGCCACCAGACATCTCACTTCCTATTGATACTCCAGCACTGCAAGGTGCGGTAGGAGATACGTAGTCAAACCAATTAGTCTCAGTGCAATCAGTAAATCATAAACAAAAGCATAATATGTGTGTGCTAGGTTTATGCTGTGGGTAAGATTAAATGAGGTCAAGTAATTATGAAACTTCAGTTTAGGTAGCTCGTAGATCATATTGTTTATTGACCATAATTCATAAACCCAGTCACCGTTAAAAAGTAGATATCCACGAATAAACATCAAAATGATACATCCCACACCCCTTCAGGGATGATAACATGTCATAGCATTAAGATTCCAGATTTCACTAACAACACACATGGTACATTAGCTTTTTTTCTTATGTTTTGGTAAGTTTCAGTGGCGAACTGTGTTGCATATGAAGTCAACAAGCAACAGTTAATGCATACATGACTAACTAGTAGAGTTGTATGCAAAATGGCTTACCTCATCTTGGAGCGTAGAACAACATTCTTAACTAATATGTTTGTTGATGGTCGTCCATAGGCAATTCCATACCGGTCCCAACCACTCTTAATTGCTATTCCATCATCACCTACAGAAATGTAACTGTTCTCTATTACCATGTCCTCACATGAATCTGCATAGACAGTCCACCACAATCAGAAGCTACAAGTTGTAGATGCATGTCCAACGTAAGAAAAAATATCTATCTACATTGCTAAGAGTTAAAACCTGCGGTATCTCGAAACTGAAAGACATTAAATAGTTAACTGAAGAGAGTATTACAGCAGCCTACAGAGTATATAGAATAAGGGACAATTTTAAAATAACTTAAATGTTGAATTTAAAGCAAAATTTTAGGTTCCGTCATGAGCTTATACTATGCTATCATTTAACTAAATATAGCTATTAGGGAGACAACATTAAGGTGAAAGGGATTAAAAATTTAAATGACAATGTAGTGGTGTAAATTGACTTGACTTACTGCACTCAGTATAACAAATCCTAAATTTTTGGTCCATAATACATATATTGAACTGAGATGCAGTTGAGAAACGAATGAAGGTAAAGAATTAGGAACTCATAGATCATATATCCAGCTGAGATGCATGTTTTTTAAAAATAATAACAAAATTAAAATGAACATATTAAAAGCTTAGGAAGGAAGTTACCAGGATCTATGCCATCTGTGTTTGGAGCATCGTAAAGGGGGGCCATAATTGTTACATTTGAAATAGTAACATTCCTGCAGTCATAGGGATGTAGTGTCCAAAAAGGAGAATCTTGTAAAGTTATATTAGAAATTACAATATCTCTGGACCACATAAGCTGCACAAGAGGTCCTCTGGTGTGTTCCAGAAGTCCTTGACGATATCTTTTCCACCATGTTTGACCTTGTCCATTTATGGTACCGTTATATCCTGAAAACACTTAAAAGAATGCATCAACCAAAGAAAGCTAACAAGACGCTCAATAACTAAAAGGAAAAGTTTGATTTGGTATGGGGTGAACAAAGGGAAGCAGAAGCAATTAAAATTTTATGCTAATAAGAAATTAACTGAAATATGATAGCTTAATCTGTTTCTTTTCTTCTTTATCCATATTTGAAAGTAGACCATAAGCACATAAAAACTTTTTCTTTTTTTTTAACTTTTGTTTGCCTGCAAGTAAGGCAAAGCTACTTGATAAGTAATTGGAGGACTATCCAATGGTGTCCCCTTTGCTCCCTCACCTCTTGGATTGCTCGTCTTATCCACAGGTAAGCAAGGCAGGCGATGGGTAGAAAATATGAAACAAGAAAGGAAAAACAAATGGTCTGATCTAGTCACTCATTTAACAAAAGGAAAAAAAGTGCAGGAAAACTTATCTATACCATTCATTCATCTGTACTCCAGTCACTCAGATTTTGTATTGCAGTGGCCATGCACTAATAAAGACCTCTCGAGCTATAAATTTAATTTGAGTGATTACATAAAAGATCAATACTCTCCTCACTCTCAATGACCAGGTTACCTGAACCCAAACAAAAATGAAGATGTATTTACTTATTGCTCTAACTGTAATAAAAGGATAGAAGATGTAACAGTTAAAAGGTACAACATATCAAATTGATTGACCTGTTATAACCACATCCCGAAGATTTTGTCCATGAATCAGACTTCCGTATCGAGGCCCTTTCAATTCCCTCCCCTGTCCATATGATGGCAGTGGAGGCATTAAGGTCCAATGCTTATAATCCTGTCAAAGAGCAAAAATGAACCTAATTAAAGTTAATGAAGGTTCCAGAGATGCCTCTTTTATGCTCTGCGAAAGGATTTAACAGATGTTGATGTTTTATTCCTTCCAAATTATGAAGGGAGAGGCAGTGAAGCGGCTGGCGTGAACAATGAAGGCAGCAACAACATAAACAAAGAAGGTAAAGAGAGGCATCATAATTCGAGGGAAAGAGAAGAGGAATCGAAGTGTTCTTTCACCTCAATTCCCATAATCACGGCCCCTTCGGCGAGGAACAGGGTCATGTGGCTAGTTAGATTAAAGGGACCAGTGAGCCACATTCCCGGTGGTACGTTGAGCTGCCCGCCGCCGCTTCCCCCAAACTCCATGATGGCCTCCACCGCTTTCTCAAATGCCTGGGTGTTCAATGTGACACCATCCCCGACTCCCCCAAAATCCGACAGATTGAAGACCGTAGGCCGGAGCCGGGGGCACGGCCTCGGCGGCGGCGCCCACCGCCGCAATAACCCAAGGCGGCCGACGGCGCCGCTCTGCCACACGACGACCGCGGAGAACAGCACGGTCCACAGCACCGCAAGGAGGGTACGATGCGACAGGAGAGCCACGAGGAGTCGCCGCCGGTAGCGGTGAAGGTGGCGGAGCCTGGCGTCCTGGGAGAGCATCTCCGATTCTCTACAGGAGTCGGCGAGGCTTGCACCGACCGAGAGGTCTCCGCGAGAGGAATCGGATGGGGAAGACAGGTGGAGGCAGGATACGAGGGCTCGGGAGAACAATTAGAGGAGGAGGGATAAGGCTTTCACCAACCCCGTTCCAAAATTGCGGGACTTGGACTTGGACTGCCTTGTGGGGGAGTGTCATGGAGCAAAAGAGAATGTTCTGAAATCTATGGAAAAGAAATAAACAAATAAATAAACATATTCATGCCCTTACCCACAAAAAAACAAAAAACAAAACAACAAAACAAAATCATTCGAACAAGAGATCGAACGGTCAAGATGTTATTGTTTTGGAGATCGACGGTCAAGAACTGATGGCATTTTCTCAAACACTCCATTGTATTCGAAATGGTGCTGTGATTTATTTAAAAGATAAAAAGAAAAAGTGAAGGTTGAGCAAAGAGGATAAAGTCTTGCTCGATAAGATCACTGCTCCCCACGGCCCCTTCCTTGCTCAAACACTCCATTCTCTTGTTGTTCTAAAGCTGTTTTCTTTTGTTAATATCAGATTCGGGTGACAATGCAAGTTACGAAATCCATCCGATAGCCAGTTTTCCCAGATTGATCACATCTTGGGAATTTCCATTCCAAGATGAATTTTGTATTCCCTCAAGTTGGCTTCTCCAAGTCAAATTCATAAAATTAAGATGGAACAAAAACTCCTTGGATATTGAGATATTGAATTCAAAATAAACATTAAAAAAATATTTTGGATGGAACCATACATGAAAGACTATTATATAGAGAGAGAGAATGACAGAGAATATTTCTCTCCAACCGGCGCTTCTACGTATTTCATATCTTAACATTTTGACCAAAGAAAGGATGTAAACTTTGACTTGGATATGAAAGATGGATGATGTACTTTTGAGTTACTGACCTGCTCATGGCATTGGCTAAATATGCTGAACTCTGGGATTCCCGGAAACCTTCCAACACTTTTTATCTGCAAAAAATCATTCAGATGAGTCTAAACATTAAAAAAAAAAAAAAAGGCTACCCGTTCGATTGCAAGTATTTTTTTTTCATTCATCTCATGAAAATCATTTAGAAACCTGATCGTGAATTATAATGAGAAAGAGAAATGAAGGCACACCTAATTTTCAACTTTATCATCAGAACTAGCGGAGGAAGAAGGGAAGAGAAAGATGCTTTCCATGGCCACTCTGATACAACTGCAATAAAAGAAGGGAATGACATGCTTTAAGCACACCAAAATGGTAATGAACATGAACTAGAGAAGGTGGAGCTTGCAATCAGTCCACATAAAGGAACTCCATTCTTTTTCTCACACAACCTTTCACATCCATTGCATCTCTTTCCACTTGCTGAGCCTGTTGAAAGTACATAACAATCTTGTCATGGAGACATAATTCTTTCCAGTAAATGATGAAACATGCTACTTCAATCTTCAAGAATGTAACATGATTATAAACCAAACGTATCATAATTATCTTGACCGTATTAGCTGGACCCTGGATAACTGAGCCTGAAAAGAATTTGCCATGCAAAAATAAGTCACAAAAGATGATTTTTTGAGCTCCACTAGAAATGCTCCATGACTGTAATCTGTTAATTCTTATGATGTTTCCTAGTAGAAATGCTTCTCATTTACTCTATCGAGGTTAATTTTATGCCCTTAACTCTATTTATGCCAAGCTTTGCTCCCTACTATGACATTGCCAACATACTTGACCCTCCCATAATGTGAAACAGACCTCGATGGCATGAAATATCATGGCTTGTGCTTGTTCTTGCACATATCAGTGGCCACTGAAAGTTAGTTTTATTCAATTAGTAATGCAGTTCATAATTGAGAAAGTTAAGCATAAGTGTCTCCACACGTTTATGCAAAAATTACTGCAAGCAAATTTATGGTTAATGGTTAGGCTAGAAAAGTTGTATCAACGATAATGTTAATGCATCCATCCTTCTGTGTAAGAAATAGCAGCTATGCTGTTACAGCATGCACAGAAGACGTTTGGAGAAATGGATAGGGAAAAATATATATGAAAGCAGTGATAAGAGAAATAATAAATTGGTAGCGGATGGATGTCACCGACCATCAAATCTAAAATTTCATTCAACTAATATTTCGTACTACATCGCTGCCTCAACTTCTATCAACAGTTTGCTATAATTTAAGGGACCTGAATGACAGGATGAGCCAAACAGAGCTAAAACACAAGGCTTCTCTTTTTGGCATAAGATCATAAGTAACATCTATATTTTCCGAGAGTGAATTCACAATCACTTTACGCTTTCCTAATTGAGCCCCTACCTTAAGTAGGATGCGATCATCAATTTTAGGGAAATGGGCCTTTGAAATCACTACCAAGAAAAAGGGCAGCTCAGTCCACACGACACATGCCAATGCAGGGGCCTTATCCTTGTAAGCACATTGGTTTCCATCACTTGAAGATATAAAATCAAGTAACCTAAAGAATTAATGATAGGAAAAGTTAGAGGTAGAGCATCATGACACTTAAGGAAAAGACTAGCATACCAGGCTCAACCTATATGGTAATTTGGAACCAATCTATATTAATTTGGACTCGAGTATTTAGACCCCAAACCCTCTCCTACTTGACCACAAAATTCTTCAATGTGGTAAGACTCTTTAAGTTACAAGATGAAAACAATCTGATAAAAAGGCATGTAAGAACAAGAATAAGACAAAGATACAAATCTAATGACAAGTATGGCAAAGGCATCTAGAAGTAGCATATATGTAACCTTAATAATGCCTCTAAAAACATGTACATGAGCAGATGATAAAATTTGTTTTAACTAAGTAAAAGCACTCACCCTTCTAATCTCTTCAACCGAGACATTTATTGGATCGATCGGAAGATTCTCCCCTTCCAAATCCTTTTGGATTTTGAGCAGTATATAAAGAAACAAAGTGGCATCAAGCCATCAACAAACCAACATGTTAACAATTAAGTATTAAATGAGATAACCATACCAATTCTCCTACTAAGACGATATTATCCCCACGGATCACATATAGACCTAGAGGAATATCACAGTACAGATCTCCTACAATTACTTGCTCACAAGCACCTTCAACAACCACACTTGCTGTAAACAATAGGCTACTACTATTAAACACCTCATATTGTGAGAGTATATGCAATCCAGTTTACAAAGAAAGGATAGATGATCACCAAATTTGTCGAAAGAGCGAAGAATCCCCGTAATCTTTTGCCCATCAAGTAATAACACAAGAAGAATCTCAAACGACAATCAGAAACCTGCTTCTAGTCCAAGAATTCCAACTGTTTGAAACAGATAATCAGATAACTTGGAGAGGACAATTTAATGGATGCTTGCTTAACAACAGATGAATAAGATGGAATACACTAAAAAGAAAAAGAAACGAAGGCGCTATTGGATTGCCTGTCTTATCAGAAAGATGTAGGAAAATACTCCAAGCAACACAATCACTCTCCCTAAAGAAAAAAAAAAGATCACTCTTCTTAAGTTAGTAGAAGAACAAATAAATACATACGGCCACCTCCTTTTGTAGGGTCCTCTTTTACCGTAGTAAATCCACCCGGTGATTGTAAATATCTCATTCGAGATTGCACAGCACCCTTTAATGAATGCATGTTACTAAGTTTATTTATCCGAACCACAACAATAAAGGATACTTTGAAGGTCCATTTTAGTGTGGATAAAAGTGACCAATAACCACTTAGTAAAAGACCATATAATATACCAATAAGGCATCGAAACCTACTCTCAATGACTAAATTTTCACAAGAAAGATGGCAAACAAGATCAATCCACAATGTATCTAAAAAGGATATTTCTGAAGCATAAAAATCTTTGGATATAAATAATAAAATTAAAGTAACTACAGGAAAACATGAAACCTAAGGGCAATGTCGTTAGATACAAGGAAACTGGAACTTGCAACCTCAGAACGAATGATCAAATAGGACAGATGTAAATAAAGAAGGTTCAAGATTTTAAACCTAATAAACAATCAAGCATTAAGAATTTGCCTCTATCTGTTCATCAAAACTAATTATAAATTTTCAACAATAAGACAAACCGGCTAAATTCAGCTCAAGAGAGGAAGACAAAGGAGGTAATAGCAAGCTCACCATCGAGGTAGCTTGCAAGAGAGATCGAAAAGACATCTTCCGGTCGAGCCCACGACATCGCGCTCCAAACCTCTTCGGCCTGTTAAAAATTCGGCGATAAATCCCCCAAAATAGCATTGAGAGTACAAATTTCAATTTCTACACGGACTCACCACCCCCAGCTACGTCTCTACCTAAATCTCCTTCGAGAAAGAGAAACGCAATGCTTCATTCAGAGCCCTAGCCCGATCGCCACCGAGAGAGCAGCCACCAGTACCGGCCAAACTGCTCCCAGATCGAATCCCCGATTCCTGGAACCGAAAATTCTACACGGAAAAACGAAGGGCAATAACGAGAAGTAAAGATCAAGTTCAAGAACAATAACGACAAGTCGTACTGATCCAGCAACTCGGGATCCACCGAAAAGATGAAGAAACGAAGGGCAAATTTCTCTTCCCTCTTCGAACGGGATTCAAGACAAAAGAGGGCGGCCGATGATCCAGGATCCGACCCGACGACATACGTATCCTTCTGATAATTTCCATCTCAGCTCTTCTTCGTGATGTGGATAGCCATGTGTTTTTAAGGGTCAGTGATGAGGCAAATTAGATCACATGACAACATCATAAGAATAGGGCATTAAAGGCTGGATCTTTGCTGTCACTTACTTGTTCCCCTTCCCAAAGCCAGCAAAAGGTTAGTAGCGTATGCACAAAAAGAGACAAAGGTCCCCATAATAGAGTGAGTTCTTCAATGCTGTGCTGTTCACTGCAAGATACTACTGAATGGAAAAGGAAAACCAACAGGTAAAGAAAGCCCACAGCAGAGCTGCAACTTCATCAGTGTGTAATTCTGGTTTTGATCTGCACTTCATGATTAATCCTTCTCTTTGTGTTGTGGTGGCATTTTCACAAACACAAATCTTTTATCGGAAAAAAGAGGCCTTCAGTTTTCCTTTACACTTATTTTTCATTACATTGAAAAACACAGTTACACAAGTTCGATCACGAGATTAATCGATTACGTAATGATGCGGTAATCACCAGAACGCCTCGACGGAGACAAAGAGGTGCGCTACTTCTAGATCTCAAGAACAATATCTGCAAGGCAAGAGGAGGATATACTTTCTTATCGGTGCCGGATTAAGCATATAAGATTATGAAAATGGAATGCGAGAAAGAAGGATCTCTTACACTCGGAATCCGTTTTAACCCATTTCCCTGCCTGCACTTGTTCCATGGATTTGTTGTCCGAGTACCTCTTCTTCATTAATGTTGGAGCGGAGCTTTGAGGGTATATCTTCTTTGTAAGAATGGCCTTCAGAATCTGCTATCGAGTACGATGATGAGAAATACGAGTCTAGAAAGCTGATGTGAGTGAGTTAATAGTGTACCTTCTCGACCGAGGGTTCAGCGATCAAGCCGCCCTTGAAGCTTCGAGTCTGTTGTGCGAACCCACGTCCACAAACAAACCTCTTCTTGAGAAGAAACGAGAGCGATTCCTTTTTGATCGCAGTGTAGTTGCACGATAACGCATCTTCCAGTTTGTGCAGTATGATCCTGGTATCGGGGGACAGGTCGCCACAGTTGACGTCTTCCGAATTCTCGAGCAGGAAGCTCGTGGCTTTGTCAGCCTCCGGCCGCAATGAGCGACCGAGGAATCTGTTAGCTCTGTCGTCATTGGCAATCTCTGATCCATGAGCGCTAGATTTCAGCTTTCGGGTCAGTAGCTTCGCCAGCTCTTTGTGTAGTTCCTTGGCTTCTTCAATGGTGAAACAAGGCAAATCTTCTGAAGTATCCAAGTAGGGATCATCATGTCTTTGTGGGTCTTCTTTCGTATGCGCGTCGCCGAGTGTCCCGATCGCCAACAATGTATGCAGGCAGTTGCCGAGTTCTTTACGAACATCCGGGATCGAAGCACCTAAGCAAACAAGCAACTCAGCAATAACATCAGTAGCATCTGATGTCAGAACAAGAAGAATGGAACTTTGCCGGGATCATTGATAGTTGTTGAAGCAACCAACTGGTAAAGGCAGATAGGTAAAGACAAATTGTCACTCACATCAAGTGACAATTAATGCTGAACCACCACCCATCAGAGAAGAAAAAAAGGAAAGACTAAATAAAAGAGAGTGAAGCAGCAATCATATGAAGCATCACTTACGAGAAGTGGAACTCGAACCAGCGTCAAATCTCTTCCTCTCCTGGCTACTGTTGAATTTATTTTGCACCCAACTCAAAATCTAATGCGCAAAACAGCCACAAACTCAATGCAAGCTTTGATGATAACATGAAACTCAATTCAGACTCGTCGTTATAAGAAATTGGCTTTTACCCTCATATTTCCCAACTAGCTTGACCGTCAGTGAGAGATCACCACAGCAAAGAGGAACAAGTGCGCATAACATAACCAACCTTAGACTAATGGAAACATCAAGCTCCAGAATGCTTCTCTTTCTCGTCCGGGCTCGTTGAGAAGAACGGGGGGTTTAAATAGATTGTGAGAAAAAGTGCTACAGAATCCCACATGGCCACATCCTAGTGGTCGTAGGGCGTTGCCTAGGATTCAAGTCCCTAGGCTAGGCTAGGCTGCTTTTACATCTCTTTTCACCGAATTAGCAGTGTGCTCTCGTCTCTATCCCTGTTTAGACTCCATTTTTGGATCACAAGGGCAACAAAGTCATTGTAATGTCAGGCAGAAGGGCACGTCGGCCTTTATATACCAAGATTTCTAGCACTGGCAAATGAAGTTGATGCGGTGATTACTATAGTATGGTACGTGATTTGTATGAGTAGCAGGAAACGGGAAAGCAGATCTCGTCGTCTAATGCCTGCACAGGCTTTAAGCCCTTGCGGTCCATTCTGGCACTGCAAATCTAACACTAAACATTACTCTTAATGTGGCGTCGTCACCCATACATCACACTTACGATAAAACCATCTCGAAAAAGATGCTCTATAAAACTGTTTGACTGTTGCGTGACATGACTTAGGTCTCACGTACACCGTAGGCATATGGGTGTCACATCAAGGCCGCTCGTCCGAGGGCCATTTGCAGACAGGCAGGCCGCTCACAACGTTAGGCCTGCTTCCCTAATTGCATACAAATACTGAACCATTGTAATGAAAAGGTTTATGAATGCCGAAATTAAAAGTACAGAAACGGAAAGTAGGGATACTATGGTTGTGGGGAGACCTATCGATGCATTTCACAAAGGTGACAAGGATTAGAAACAAACCGCCCCGCCCAATAATGCAGCAGCACAGCAAGTCGGCAGGGAAGGCTGTGAGAACATGGAGGGATGCGTGCATGTCTCACTCGAACTCGACTGTCAATATAGCCACTCCAGTTCGATGAGGTGTATTATTGTCCTAACTGAGACCGTGACTCGGATGGATATAGGAAACGAAAAATGACAATGAATAAAATGCCAATTATCTTAACCTATATTTCACTACCCAATTGTGGCCATATGTCAATTATAATCTAATTTAAATGAGTCGGATGGACAAAGGAAACCGAAAAAATCTGACCTTAGATTAAGAATAACGGTGAATAAGACACCAACTATTTTACATCTAAATCACTTTTTTTAATCTATTTTAATTATTGTTAAGTTCAATTTTGACTGTCCAAGATCAAGATTGATTTGAATCCAATTGATTCCTTTCTCCGAGTAAGTCCCAAATTGAAACTTTACTGATCCGAGCCGAATCCCTAAAAATTTAGGTCTGAGAATATTTTCGATAATATCTCTACAATGATTAAGTTAATAAATCGAACGATTCAAACATGTTAAAAATCATGTGTCTAAGACATATCTATTGAGCACCTTCTATAGAAGTCTTCTGAAACCGTTACTTCTGTATTGCATATTGTTCATGGGAAATATGATGTGTTGATCTCAGGTATAAATATCACTGTGCTACAGGATAAGATAACGTTCAAACATATACACTAATCATACAATGTAAGATAATCAATTTGCTAATTGAGATTGGCACTGAGGGGTCAAGCACCTAAGGTCCAGGTGTCAGCCACCCAACCATCAATCACTAAAGCATCGACTATCTAGCATCAAGATTCGATCATCTAACGTCACGTCGAGGTATCAATCATATCATGTTATCCAAAACAATTATAATAAAAATATATCCAAATCTAATTTAAGTTAATCAAACATAATTGTTTTTAAAAAATTCGATTCATTTTCATTTCCATTTCCATATCACCTTTGTGACAGTAACTATTTGACTCATTGTCCTCACCTGAACCATTTCTTAATATGTGTATGGAAACTAATAAGCACTAGATTCCTTCTTGCGTCAGTTATGCCCGGACCATACATTCCCTGAATTCAGGCATGCAGACAGTGAAGGGCCTATTTTCTATAATTTATTTTACGAGAATACGGAGAAAAATATAAAAAGGGGTACAGCAGAACAAATATGTCTCGGTAATCTAGTGGAGAACGTGTGCTCTACACATATCAAAACCGATTTAATGGAAATACATTCCAATGACTTACTGAAGGCAACAGTTTCAGTAGGATATTGTTGTATCTAAAAAAAACAGAAGTAAATATATGAATCGAAGTAACGTTCACGCTATATAACTGTATCAAGAAATTAAATAATAAATTTTTGCCAGGCTAAACAGTGTTTTAATTACTTGAGAAATGTAATTAAAATGAGATCCAAGTGGAAAATAATAGAGCAAAAGAGAACGTGCCACTCTTGTAATCAATAAGGTTTATCAAAGGGAAGGGACAGGAGAGACAAACAAGACCCACTGAAGAAATG